TGCCCAGGCAGGTCTCAAAACCGCGGGCTCAGGCAATCCACTCACCTTGGCCTCCCAAAGCATGGGATTACAGGCTGAGCCACCGAGCCTGGCCTGTCTTTTTAAATTTTTGATAGCTTAAAGTGTATTTTGTCTGATATTAAAATTGTGACTCCTGTTTTCTTTTGTGTTCTGCTCACCTGAAATTTTGTTTCCCATCCTCTTACTTTGAGTCTGTGAGTGTCCTTTCTGGTGAGATTAGTCTCTTGTAGACAATATATTGTAGCCTCATGATATTTTATCTAATTTGCCATTCTATCTTTTTTCAGTGGTGTATTTAGTCCATTCACAGTCAGGCTAATCATTGAGATGTGAGAGCTCATCCTTGTCATGAGGTTCTTATAGAGTTTGTTGTTGCTGCTGTTTGTTTGATGTCTTTCTTTTGAATTTTGAGTTGATTCATGTGTGTTTTCAACCTTCTTCCTGCATTCTTGTGAAGGGTGGTGGTGTTCTTTTTTCCTTTCTTCTGTGTTCATACTTTCTTAAGTGTTTCTTGTAGAGCTGGTCTAGAGCTAGCATAAGCTCTTAGGGATTGATTGTCTGGGAAGGACTTTAATTCTCCATCACTGATGAAACTTAGCTTAGCTGGATAGGTAATTTGTGGTTGAAATTGTTTATCTTTGAGAACTTTGAAGATTGGGCTCCAAGCTCTCCTAGTGTGAAGTGTTTCTGTAGAGAAGTCTGCTGCTATTCTAATTGGTCTTCCCTGGTAGGTAGTTTGACCTTTCTCTCTTGCTGCCTTTAGGATTTTTTTCTTTTATACCTACTTTATGTAGGTGAATTACATAAAGTCTAGGAGTTGGTCTTCTAATTTGTTGTCTTGCAGGGGTTCTCTGAATCTCTTGTATTTGAATGGTTATGTCACTGATGAGATGAGGGAAGTTTTCTTGGATAATTTCATGGAAGGTTTCTTCCAGGGTGGTCTCTGTCTGTCTGCCTCAGGAATTCCAATTAATCCTAGGTTTGGCCTCTTGAAATAATCGCTCATCTCTTGGAGGTTTTGTTCTGTCTTTTAAAACTTCTTTTCTATGTTTTAACAGCTTGGGCTAGTTCCATATTTGTCCTCAAGCTCTGCTTTGTTAATTCTACTCTCCATGCTTTTCAGTTTGTTATTTATTTCATTCACTGTACGCTTTATTGCTGTTATCTCAGTTATCAATTCCTTTATTCTTTCCACTTGTCTCTCCTCATTTCTATTTATTCTCTCTATTAATATCTTGATATCTGGGTTTATGGTTTGAAACCAGTCATTCTGGGGACTTTTCATTGTTTGCATTCTGACATCTATATTCTCAGTGGCTGACCTCCCAGGGATCTGTGTGCGAATCATATTCTTCCTTTGGTTTTTCTACATTTGTGTAGATTTTTCTCCCCCCCCCCCCTTTTTTTTTACCTCTTATTTAATTCTGTTGTTCAGGGATTGGGGGCGTAGCTTTTACTTCTGCTTGCTCAATTTCCTATTCTTCCTTATGTAGATCCTATGACTTTGTTCAATTCTGAAGCTGGACTGTTGGTGAGGTGCTGTACTTTTTGCAGTTTTTAGATTTAATTGAGGGGGGCACTGTGATTCTGAAACTATCTGCAGATTCCTGTATCTACTGACAGGTATGTGGGCCCCCTGGAACTCACTTCCTACCACCTTACAATCTGTTCATGTGGGGGTATAGGCTTGTCCCCTGAAAGCAAAATGAGGTAAGAAAAGGAAATAATGGGAAAAAGAAGGAGGGGGATGAGAGGAAGGTGGAGAGAGAGAAGAAAAGGGAAAGCAGATAGGTACCAGCTAACAAATGAAAAGAGACACAAAAACAGAAAAGATTTTTTAAAAGTACAAACAATCATACAAATACTCAAATCAACAAAAGTCCACCTATTGATGTACTCACCCTCAAAAATACCCATACACAAACAGGAAGTCTTAAAAGAACAGCATTAAAATAACAGAAGCAAAGCAAGTATGAAAACATAATCAAAAACAGAAAGAAAGAGAGAAGAGGGGAAAACCTAAAACAAAAAAACCAAGCTAAACAAAAAAAAAAAAACAAAACTCACTCTGAGTTCGTTCCTGTAATTCCAGCTTCCTTTCTGCTCTGGTCTCCAGTCCCTCCCCTCCACTGTCAGTGTAGGCTGATAGGGTTACTCTCTGTGTACGTCAGATGCCCCTGGGACTATTGTGGGAGGAGGACGGATCAGATCTGGACTCACGCAGCTTACTGCTGCTGTTGTCAAGTATCCCACTCAGATCTGACGTGTCTGTGCCTATTTCAGCATGAGGAAAGGACATCTATCTCTCCGAGTTTAATGATATAACCTCTAGGTCCTCAGGTTGGAGGCTGGATCAAGCGGGGTGGGGCAATGCAGGTCTCTGCCTGGTCCCAGGACAGAGAAAATGGTGCTGGTCATTGTTTCCTCACTGATGGTGGAGCTCCTTTCCAGCTGTCCTCCTGCCCTCTCCACAGATCCTGGGGATTGTGCTGTTCTGCTGTAACAGGTGATGTTGTGGGCCAGGCGCCAAGTGACAAGGATCAGCTGCTTTCCACTGTCTCTTCTTAGGAGAGCCTCAAGCACAGCAGGTGATCCTGTGTGCTGGGGGCTCCAATCTCAGGGCAGTGGGGAGTTTCAGTCACCTCCAGAGGAGAGTCCTGGGTGCATAAACCCAAGTCTCCCCTCAGACGGACTTTCACTTATCCACCGGCACACACCCAGTCACACAGAGAGTCTTTATAAACACTAGCTTTTGCAGAGACTCTCACAGTCCGACCTGTTCCGTGGCCATCTTGCCAGAAATCCAAATCTAGGATTTTCAATATACCACATGCACAGACTCCTCTGTGAACTGGAAAGAACCTCCTAGCATCACACAGTGGGAATTTTCTGTCTCTGGTCTCGTTTGCCAAAGCACTAAAAGGCCCACACACATATTTGCTATTTATGGAGCCACTACAGCACACACAGCACTGTGCTGGACAACCTTAAAGAGGGACCACACATGTTTCCTCTCATCCAAAATTTCGTTTGATTAAAAAGAAAAAAGATTAACACACTTTGAAGCAAGCAACAACCCAAAAGAGAATATGCCTAAAAAAGGAGTACACCACTTACGTACCTAATCCTGAATTATACCCCAAATCTTTAAAAAAAATTTTAAAAAGAAGTGGTACAAATATACCAATTTATACATATATCCAATGGAAATATTGGGATACTAAAAATTTGAGTAAGGAACCGATCTACCTAAGGTATCTCAGCAAAGCTTAATGATATTTGGTATTATGAAAATGCTTCTTTCTTTTGTTGTCAGCAATCTGCCCTTCACTTTTATTCCACCTGTAAACATCTCTGTAGGCGAGCAGTAACACGGTAGGGTTCACTTCCTGAAACCCTCTCTATCACTAAAATTCTAAGGGAAAGAAAGTAGACAATAGCGGTTAAAGCCTCAGGATCTTAAATCCCTAGATCAAACTTGGTTGAGCAGAGAAATCACCACTGAGAGCTTGGAAAATATAAACTTTGGGGCCCCACCCCAGCAAACCCTGATTCAGCTGATCTAGAAAATAGCAAACAGCTGTGGGCTATCATCCTAAGTGAATTATCACAGAACTAGAAGACTGAATACTGCATTCTCACTCATAAGTGGTTACTAAACTCTGGACACACATGGGGATAAGGGTGGAAACGACAGTCATCCGGACACTGCTAAAGAAGGGAGGGAAGGAGGAGGAATAAGGGATACAAAATGACACCGTGCTCACTACAGAGGGGTGAGGGAAGACTTGTCAGAAGCCCAAACCTGGCCTTCACGCACTATACCTACCTAAGTAACAAATCCTCACATGTACCCGATGATTCCAAATTTCTTTTAAATCTAATTTTCCCCAAATTCCCAATCCAGGATGATTAAAAGGGTTAGAACCACTGGTCTGTCCTAGAACATTGATCTCCAAAGAGGGTGGGACGTGACTGGGGAGAGAGGACCAAATAATTAAAGGGAGAATGTGTTACAGTAAGTACAAATCTTTCCATTTGTTTTTAGTTTTAAAACTAGGAAGAAGTTTCCATTTTACTGTTTCATATACTGACTGACTGGTATTCTAAATGGGTCTACACAGCAGATTGTAAGCAAAGTATCCAGAGGCAGAGACTGAGATTCCAAATGCAGGACTGCTGGTATTCACTCATTCATTCCCTTGTCACTTACAATTACATTATCCAACGTTAACTAAACTACCCTTTACAAAATGAACACATATCTTAATAATAGTCCTCATCGAGACTGAAGCTAGAGGACAATGTGTAAAATGCAAGCACAGGCCAGGCACAGTGGCTCATATCTAGCACCCCAGTGCTTTGGGAGGCTGAGGCAAGAGGATTGCTTAAGGCCAGAAGTTCAAGACCAGCCTGGGCAAGACCAGCCTACAAGACCCCTCATCTCTACTAAAGATTTTTTTAATTGACTGGGCATAGTGGCATTCACCTCTAGTCCCAACTATTGGGGAGGCTGAGGCGAGAGGATCACTTGAGCCCAGAAGTTTCAGGCTGCAGGGAGACATGAACATGACACTGCACTCCAGCCTGGATGACAGAGGAAGATCTCTATCCCAAAAAATAAAATAAAATGCGAGTACAGAGAGCAGTAAGAAAAGTGGAAGAGTTTTTATGCTTCTTTCTTCTATCACAAATTCCTCATCAGCCATTTTATGAGGAAAAAGCAAAAATAATCTCATCAGATCTCAAAAAAATGAGCCGAAGTATTTCAAATATCAAGAAGGCTATTTGAAATATGGATGTACAGCATCATTATTAATTTTTAAAAATCAATCTTTAAAAGCATATTTTTCTATAAACATTTGCTAATATATACTGGACTCAATTTTTCTTTTTCTGATAGTGCCAAATGAAAAGGATTGAGGAACACTGAAGGAGAGGGGGTATGTTATTGTTCTCTTTTCTGCCTCTTGCACAGGTTATAATCTGTCCAGTTTCTGTTCAGTTGTTTGTGGGTTCCCTGCCTCTGTGTGCTCCAGAGCACAGTAGTAAACAGCAGCATCTGCCTCCTGCACCTGGAGGATGAGCAGTGAGGAAGAGAACCGCTCGTATGTCATGTTGTATCGTCCCTGCTGAGAAGGTCTCGAGCCCTTAATGAGGAGCCTTGGCGCACGACCGGGGATGTAAAGGTACCAGAAGAAGCTGTAAGCATTGGACACAGAGTGATTACAGAAGATTTCTGCCACAGCTCCCTCTGAAGATGCCACTATGGAAGGTTGAAACACTTGGTCTTCGCTCTTTGCAACTGCAGGAAAACAGAGAAGGCTGTCACTTCTATGCTGGTCTGCTGGTCACCCTTTAGGTACAATGAGTATTAGGAACTCTGACTTTTTGTTTTTCAATTTTAAAATGAGCCCCAATTTAAAAATAATTGCATGCATTTTTCCCAGATCAAATGGTGAAGGAGCCTACTCACCATTCCAGAGACAGCTGAGGAGAAGAACCCCCAGCCACACTGCTTCCAGAGTGCTCTGCAAAGCCATGGCCAAAATACAGCTGAGCTCACCCGGAAACTGACTTAAGGTTGCCTGGTTTGCATTTTCTTCTTTGTATCAATGACATCATCAGCACAGGTCTATGAAGTTTGGAAGGGTGACTGTGATTGTGAGGCTGCTTAATAATGACTGAACTTTTTTTTGAGAAGTCAGTCTTAAAAGAGAAAGCACTCTTTCAGAGATCACTGTGGTTGTGTAATTTAGTATTCAAGAAGCTTCTTTCTTCTCTAAAGGTATTAGAAAGAGTCAGTCACATAATTGATGGGGTACTGCTTTATCATTCAAATTAAACTGGTACAGCCACACAAAAGTATGCTAAATCTCATCCCATGTGACACAATGACATGCTAACATATTAAAAACAAAAACCATGAAATCCTAGTAACTGTAGTAGATGAGAGATGGATTTTTGTTAAGGCACAAAAGTTACTATGTAAATATACTAACCAAAATTTGACTCCTTCCAAACAGCGATCTCTGGAACAAATTCAGTGGGGGAAAAAAAAAATCTCAGTTGTACCTTACTGTTACCAAGAGAAACAAAACTGCATTTGGAAATAATCTCTTTTGGGTGGTACCTATCCCCATTGTACAGCCTGAGACTCTCTCCATTGTTATCAATATAGGACTTACTACAAAGTTCTCTCAGGCTTTTATTATTTTGTACAGATTTTCTTGGAGTCCTATTTGAAAAAGAAGAGTGAACACAGTTTGTGGCAATTTAGTGTTTATACAGTAGAGTTTTTATGTGACCTCCACCCCCTAGTGGACTACGTAGGAACTGATGAACACTAATTGAATAATTGCCCCAAGCAGCCTGTAAGACAAGTCTTTGTAACTTCTTGTATCTTCAAGAAACTATATATCTTTTTCTTTAATCCAAACTCCTCATCTTTATTCAGTTTTTATAAGGATAAAATTTTCCTTCTTGGAAAGTCTTCTGGTTGCTCAAATATATTATTCATTCAGATGAATGACTATAAAACACATACTTCCATGGAGTAACTCACTTCTCTTTCTCATCTTCAGATGGTTCTTTTTTACATTCCCTTTCCTATTTTGTGTAGTCTTTCAGGTCAGGGAAAATTATGGGGTTTGTATCCTAATCTTTTTTTTTTTTTTTTTTTTTTTGAGTTGGAGTCTCACTGTCACCCAGACTGGAGTGCAGTGGCACGCTCCCGGCCACCGCAGCCTCAATACTGGGCTCCCGTGATCCTTCCGCCTCAGCCTTCCAAGTAGCTGGAACTACAGGCACACACTACCATGCCCGGCTACTTTTTGATTTATTGTAGAGAGGATGTCTTGCCAAGTTGCCCGGGAGGGTCTCGAACCTGCGGGTTCAGGCAATCCACTCGTCTCGGCCTCCCAAAGTGCTGGGATTACAGACTGAGCCACCAAGCCCGGTCTATCGTAATCTTTTATCTTTTCTTCCTGAGAACTACAGGCGCGCACTACCACGCCCGGCTAATTTTTTATTTATTGTAGAGATGACCTCTCGCCAAGTTACCCAGGTGGGTCTCGAACCCGTGGGCTCAGGCAATCCACTCACTTCAGCCTCCCAAAGGCGCAGGATTACAGGCTGAGCCACCGAGCCCGGCTGTGGTATCATTTTATCATATATAAAGTTCCCTCTGAACTTGGTTTATACCTATTGAACTTCTTGAGTTTTATATTAATCTAGTTGTTTCTTTCTGCAATACTACTATACTGTTTTTAGCATCTGAACTTTAGCAAGATCTGCCTTTAGTCAAATATACAGATGAAATTTTTTTAAATGTACTCTGGCCAGTTTAAGCAGAAAAAGAAAATATTAAGATATATTAAGTGGCTCACAGACTCTCCAGAAGAGGTAGGCCGTGAGGATTCAATGCTACGCACCCAGAAACAATGCTCAAACACCCCACAAGAAATGCTCTGATGAAACAATCAAATGTCACACTACTTACCTCAACACCACAAATTCATTTAATCAGCAACAAGGACACTCAGTATACATTTGCAAACCCGCTACTGGAGAAATGTAATGAACAATAGTAGTGATAGTGGCTATCCCGGTCTTGCTTTGGTGATCATAGGGAGATTGTACCTACAATGTCTCCATTATTGAGGCTTCCTTCATGTCCTAACACATGCTCCATTTTTTAGAATGTTTTATGGATGCTGAAAAAGAGTCCATGCCTTCTGTACATCTCACAAAGTTTCTTTTGAATATATTTCAATCAGCTTCTACCCCTACATTTCTGTCTCTACAACAAACTGAAAAACAATACAAAGAGACTAGTCAAAAACAGATGCTATGCTTTCCCCCTCCACTATTCCCTTCTTTTCATCTTAGTCCCTTTACTCACCAACATTTCCTTATCCCTCTCCAAGTAACAAAAAAAGTCTCACTCATGAATAAAGAAAAATTAACTTAGGAGTGGAGAGAAGAAAAAAATAAATTAAGAGGATGGAGATGTTGTTAATTTTACAGGCTGCAGTCAGCCAAAATGCCTGTATAAGATTGGACAGACATTGTGGAAAGATCTATATACAACTTATCTGGGACTTAATTATAATAGATGTGACAAAATAAAATCCTAATGTATTTGAATTCCTCGAAAGCTTTAAAAGAACTTCATCTGTTTAAGTCAGCGATTAGAAAATAAAATAACAGCTGGGCTCGGTGGCTCAGCCTGTAATCCCAGCACTTTGGGAGGTTGAGGTGAGTGGATTGCCTGAGCCCGCGGGTTCAAGACTCGCGAGACCTCATCTCTACAACAAATCAAAAAATTAGCTGGGCGTGGTAGCGCACGCCTGTAGTTCCAGCTACTTGGAAGGCTGAGGCGGAAGGATCGCCGGAGCCCAGCAGGTCGAAGCTGTGGTGGCCGGGAGCAACCACTGCACTCCAGTCTGGGTGACAGAGTGAGAGTCCAACTCAAAAAAAAAAAAACAAGAAAGAAAGAAAAGAAAATAACACCAAATATGTTACCGAGGGGAAAGAAATATGTTTATTATTATAGGGATGAGCACGTGGAGATAGTGAGAGAAATAAGTAAAGAAAAAAAGGTTAGCAAAAAGCAACATACAAACACTGGGACTTTATCTGAGAATTCTTCAAATAGACCCTCATAAAGTCTATGAAAAATTAATGAATTTTTTTTTTTTTGTGAAAAATGATGAAGAGACTGCTCTGATGCTGGCTGTTTGAGGCATGACAGAATAGCATGAGTGAGGTCAGTAGAAATATCAGCATTAAAAACCTCCAAAAAGTCACCTCTTCATAAAAGCAATGACAACACTGGGAGAAAAAAAATGTCAAAATCTACTTCCGAACTCTGAAAATTAACAAAACAACTTAGACAATCCAAGAAAGATTTATTCAAGAAAACTAGCTGAATCTAGGTAAGGACAGTGAGCAGCTTTGTGGTGTTTTAACTTGCCCTATTCTCGTCTTCCTCTCTCCAGCTATCCAATAGCCTTGAAAAGAAACAACACTGCCATAATGGTGAAAATGACAGCCTCACAGCCACTGAAGGGCCTGAAATTTGTTTGGAATGTCCCAAAACCACTAATCTCGGAGAACTGTCATTATTTGTCCTGTCTGGTCTTTATTTGACCTTACTCAGAACTTGCGCATTACAATCTTCCAGAGGGGCAGGGCATTTATTGACAACAATAAGCACTTAACATAGCCACTGTTTGAGGAGGGGATAAGAATGGGAAAACAAGAAAGTTGACCAACACACACACACACATACACACACACACACACACACACACACACACACACACACACACACTCTTAAAGGAAAAGCTGAAGAATGAAATGTCCATAGGGGACTCGGAAAAACTCCAACGTATTTCAGGAACTCCAAAAAGTCATATACAAGCATGCAGGAGACTGTAAACATGCCAAAGGCCATTTAAAGGCCTAGTAAGCAAATGAGAAGGTACTAATCTCTTGCCTGAGGTTGACCTTGAAGTTCTGCAAAAGCAATAAGTAAAGGTTAAGTCAGAGCTCAAACTGCCTAGCTAAACATTAAAGGAGTGCCCAAACACACACACACATACACACACACACACACACACACACACACACACACACACAAAGCCCATCAGCAAAGAGTGAGAGACCTACCGGTTCTAGTAATGGGAAACTGCCAGCGGCCGTCAGGGCACACCTCATCAACAAGGGTACCTCCATCGTGAACATTTGTATACCTAACCCTGAATTGTACCCCACTTCTTCAAAATTAAAAAAATAGAAATCTCTGTCCAACTATTCACTCACAGTTAAGCTAACCAGACATAACTAACAATGAGGACTTTACAAATTAGTTCAGGAAAGTCACTAAACAAACTGAGAGCAAGCACAGCAACAAACAACAACAAACCCCAAGGGAGTGGGTGATCTTATTTCCAGTGTTGTCATATGATATTATGTTAAATATCTCCAAAGAATTATAAAATTTTAAAGATAAATAAATAAAATGTCTTAATGCAAAAATAAGATGTCCAGTTTTCATCCAAAAAATGATAATACATGCAAAGAAGCAAGAAGATATAGTCCATAGAAGGAAGAGTCAGGCAAAAAAAAAAGGAGAGCTTGAGGAGCCTGGAATTACTAGACCAACACTTTAAAACAGCTATTTTAAATATATTCAAAAGCCCGGCTCGGTGACTCAGCCTGTAATCTCACACCTTTGGGAGGCTGAGATGAGTGGATTGCCTGAGCCCGCGGGTTCGAGACCCACCTGGGCAGCGAGATCTCATCTCTACAATAAATCAAAAAAGCAGCCGGGCGTGGTAGCGCATGCCTGTAATTCCGGCTACTCGGAAGGCTGAGGCGGAAGGATCGCCGGAGCTCAGCAGGTCGAGGCTGTGGTGGCTGGGAGTGGCCACTGCACTCCAATCTGGGCGACAGAGTGAGACTCCAACTCAAAATATATATATATTCAAAAAACTAAAAGAAACAATGAATAAAGAACTAAAAGTACAAGAATTATGTCTTATCAACTATAGTATATTAATAAAGAGAAATTATCACTAAAGAACCAAAGGAAAATCAATACATTTAAAAGGATTGAAATTA